ATGGCTGGCCGTCTCATCATGATTATGACGAAATAAACCTTCCTTTTGTACTTCTCCTGAGACTGGGTGTTTGTCTTTCTGCCTACTGCGACTGGACCCAATGCAGGGACCCTAAATTGGGGGTCCCTAACACTATAGGATTCAGAATCCAGGGGAGTCTCATTTGCTTGAGTTTTTTTTAGCAGAGGCTGGATGGCCATCTGTTGGGAGGTTTTGAATAATGTCTTCCTGTATGGCAGGGGGTGGACTGGGTGACCTTTAGTGGTACCTTCAAAGTATAGGATTTTGAGTCTGGTGGAGTTTCCTTCACTGGAGTTTTTAAGCAGGTACTGGATGGCTATCTATTGGGAGGTCTTCCTGAATGGCACAATGGGGTTGGACTGGATGACCTTCAGGGGTCCCTTCCAACTATAGGAAGGGATTGTGGCACAGCTGGCTGAGTGACACCTGCATTAATCACTCTGACCAAAAGGTCATGAGTCTGAAGCCAGCCCGGGTTGGAGTGGGCTTCCAACCAGTTGCATCAGTCAAGTAGGAAAATTAGGTACCACCTTTTGTGGGGAGGCTAAATTAACTAATTTATGAGGCCATAAAGAAGACTCCAGCAAAGCACTCCAGCAAAAGCATGCAGAGAATGCGGAAGTAATTCATCAGTGTTGCAGATGGATGATGAAAGCGACAGCTCCCCTAGTGGCCAATTGAGTGGGCATGGCCAAGGGAGTGGAATCCCTGAGAAGCTGAGCCAGAGCCATCAGTGCGAGTCAAGGGGAGTGAGAGGGAGACTGGGACAGCAGGGGGGCTAGGAAGGGGGTTGGCTTGGACTGCCAAATTCCCTCCTCCCTCTTCCTTGCCATGCTGGGCTTCTTCATGGCTCGGCCTCGGGTGTCTCCCCTCGTAGGGCAGTGGGACTGCGCTTGCCTTGCGGAGACCCCTGCAGCCCCCTGCCCCTGCTCCTGAGGACCAACTCCGCCCTGGGCCCTGAGTGGCCCTTCCTCCTGGTGCCGCATGAGGACAAGGAGGAGGAGGAAGAGGAGGAGGAAGGCGAGGAAGGGGAGAGGGAGGAGGGTGCCCCCCTCCTGTTGACCCCGCTCCTGCTACTTCCCACAGGTACTGATCGTGAGGGTCAAAAGGGGCAGGACACATGCCCTCCTTGAGTTCCTCCACGTGTACCCCGACATTCGTGCCCTCGGCATCGAGCCCCACTTCTTCGACCTCGGATATGGGAGGGTGCTTGCCTGGTACAGGTGAGGGGTGTGTGTGTGTGCAGGACTAGCCAAGGAAGCCAAGGAAGGCACCCAGGCTGGGATGCTTCAAGAGCGCCCCTTGGGGATTCGCGCTATACGCAAATGGGTATCTTACCTATTGCTTCAGCCGCTGTTGGGGTTCAGCCTGATCCTGATCTGTGTGAACCGGATTCTCTGATAGTTTTTCCAACTGAGCAAGCTCTCCCTGACCCTGACAGTGTGGAATCTGTTGTTGATGCAGAGGTCAGCAGGGATGAAAATGAAACTCAACAGCTGGAGGAAAATGTTTTGGAAGCTAGCCGTGATATCACTAGCCGTGATATCTCTCCACCTGGGGTTTTTAATGAGGACTGAAGAGAACAGATAGTTAGAGACAGAAATGTTTCCCAGTTTCTACGAAGGTCACATCGTTTACAGGAGAGACAGGCCCAGGCTTCAAAGTCAAGGGGCGTTTCAAAGAATAGCTTCTTTGGTTTAAGGGGCCTCCTGCCTGGTGCCTCTTTAGATCAAGCAACGTTTGGGACTGTGGCTGTGCCTTGGCAGAATTCCTGTGTTTCATGGCCGGTAATCCCAGAGGCTTAGTTATCAAGTTCATGGTTAGTAAAAGGCTAACACGTTCCTGGTTCTTGTATTGTGGCTTTTGAAATTTTGCTCAAGTTCAGAGATTCTACTGACTGCTGTGTTTTTCTGTGGCTTTTTGACTTTGCATTTACCTTTCTTTTGTAATTAATTTTTCATCAATAAACAAGGATTGCTTTTCCTACAGTCCAGTGTGGTGGATTTAATCTTATGGTCTCGTTTCTTGATCTGGGATGCAACAGCCACCTCTGTTTAAACATGGGGCCAGCATTCTTTTCAACTGTTTCAGCCATACACACATACACACATAGTGTGGATAGAATAGAGAAGGGTTAACACCCCTGTGGTGTTTGTTTTGTTGTCTGTGCCCCTGTTCAGAAGACTTCACCTCACTTTGTGTTCTTGTGATAACTGGATTTTGAAAAAACTGGCGTGTGGTGAAAACAAGTATTGGGAATAAAGCTCCAGTAGAGACTATATTTTCCCCTGGATAATAATTGTTTCAGGAGTGAATTTCCCTTCTGAGTGGTAGATTTCTCTAACTTCCTCTTGTCTCTCCCTTTTCCTAACTATGAATCGTTTGTAAGTCAGATACCTGTAACTCAAGGACTGCCTCCTTATACTTTTTCTGCTGGGTTTTAACACAGCAGGAAATCTGAGTATTTGGTGCCACCTCCTGGCTGAGTGTATGGAACAAAAATTCACATTGTGTTACCCTATTTATTTGAATCTAATGCTCACCCTTTTCTTCTTCTTCTTCTTTTGGCTAAATGGCCTTCCCAAAAGTAGGGTACGCATTAGATTTGTGTAATAAGGTAATCTTAGTGCTGAGCCCAAGCCAAAGGGGAAGCTGCTTCAGGAGCTCCTCTTTGAGGGGCATCATCTCTAATTTCATGACCACGGCTCAATGCTATGCAATAATGCAGTGTTTCTCAACCTGGGGATCAGGAGGAGATGTCAAAGGAGTCACCAAAGACCATCAGAAAGCACAGTATTTTCTGTTGGTCACGCAGGTTCTGTGTGGGAAATTTGACCCAATTCTTTCGTTGGTGGAGTTCAGAATGCTCTTTAATTGTAGGTGAACTATAAATCCCAGCAACTACAACTCCCAAATGCCAAGGTCTATTTCCCCCAAACTCTTTGATTGAAGGTGAACTAGAAATCCTAGTAACTACAACTCTCAAATATCAAGGTCTCTTTTCCCCAAACTTCACCAGTGTTCAAATGTTGGCATATTGAGTATCTGTGTCAACTTTGGTCTAGATCCATCATTGTTTGAGTGCACAGTGTTCTCTGGATGTAGGTGAACTACAACTCCCAAACTCAAGGTCAATGCCCACCAAACCCTTCCAGTATTTTCTCTTGGTCATGGGAGTTCGGTGTGCCACGTTTGGTTGAATGTCATGGTTGGTGGAGTTCAGAATGCTCTTTGATTGTAGATGAACTATAAGTCCCTGCGACTACAACTCCCAAATGGCAAAATCAAACCCCCACCCCACCAGTATTCAAATTTGGCATATCGGGTATTTGGTCCAGTGAATGAAAATACATCCTGCATGTTAGATATTTACATTTCAATTCATAACCGTAACAAAATTACAGTTATGAAGTTTTGTGGCTTATTCATTCAGTCACTTCCAACCCTTTGTGACCCCACGCCAGAGCTCCCTGACAGCCGTGGCCACCCCAAGCTCCTTCAGAGTCAAGCCAGTCACTTCAAGGATACCATCCACCCATCCATGTTGCCCTCGGTCAGCCCCTCTTCCTTT